CATTTAAATAGGGGGCTGACAATAATGATATAAGAAATAGGAAAATACCATTTCCAGATAAACTATACTGAATTCTTTTGTGTCAAGATATGATCTCCAGAAAAAAAAAAATAAACGAGCATAATCATTGCTTTCTTATTAAAAGTATGATGAATATACTCGGAACAATTTGAAAGTGAGCTCCTACTATAATATTTCTGTCTCATCTCATAGAATTTTAGAATGTAATTCTTAGAATAGTTCTTAAATGACAATTACTCTTAACTCCACAAGGATTACTCTGTATGTGTACACTATATGTATAGGGCAGCTTCATACATGCAAAAAAATTTAATTTAGTCTTTAATTGGGAGTCTAATCAGAGCCTGCCAGGAAGACAATGTTTTGCATTAACTATCTGAATATAGCTCTAGTGAATAAATTGATTGCTAGCAATTTAAAAAGCTGTCAAAATTCAGACTGAATTTGTGATGACTTTATTTTTTGGTTCTGGAACAGGAATAGATTCACAAAACTAGTGAAGAGATAACAACTGTTTCTCTTCATCTTCCCGTCTCCACCCACTCACCTCTACCCCCGCAAAGTTGAAGATCTCACCATATGTTTTTTAATGCAGTAACTCCTATATATAAGAGACTAGGTTTTAAGCCCTTCCCCCTGACTGAGATTTAAACCTTTATTTTCTGCCTTCCAAGGGAATCACCTAACCACTGGATATTCTGCAGGGGTATGCTCTCACCTGAACTATCTGAACTGCTACTTTGACCGAGCCGTGTGCCTCCCAAGTGAATTCTTTAAGCACCAGACCAAAGAGTCATTCGCTCTCTTTGACTCAGTATTTAAATAATCCATGCAGAACAGCTTTTTCCATGGGGATCGAGAGAAGCCAATTATAGATTTCTCACTGGTTTAAGAACTCTTTTGGGAAAGTGAAAATGTGGGTTCAAGAATGTGCAGACAAGGTCTTGAACCTGATTGTCCCACATTGTATATCAGATGAGGCCCTAACCACAGAGCTATTGAATAAGTGAAGAGAGGGGGGATTCTCTTTACTTCCATGAATGATTTACAAAGAGCGTGTAAGCCTAATCTTTCATTTCCAGTTCTTTAGTTTTGTGTTTAAATAGCTTCTGAAGAGTTGCCTATGTCTCTGGCAAGTACACAAATTAATGACTGGAGAAAAATGCTGCTTTTGGGAATGCAGAAGGATAGTTCTTCCCCACATTTTTTTGTTTCTAAATATTTTCTGACTATTTCTGTCCGTTCCAAATGAAATCAAAGTATGGTTTTCTTTGTCCCTAAAAGCATAATTTTAGTTGAAGTGTACGGACATTGTAGAGGAGGGAGAAGATGACTGGTTTTTTTTCAATACCCTTTCTGTAAAAAATCCTAACTGAAAACAATTTACATAATACTTAAAGCCCCCTCTCATATACTTCCATGTGTCCTAACACTTCCCAATTCAAGAACCTGTACTGAGCTGAACTAGCATGCCTCTATTAAGGAGTAGTAGAACTTGCTGGCCACAAGTGCTTATTTCAATTCAGACACAAGGATCAATATGGAAGAAACATTGACCATTTATGAAATGAGTCATTTTTCTCTACCTTTTACAGTGCCAATGGATGTGAGGAAAAGCCAGAAAAAAGTATAGGGTTTGTTTGTTTGTTTTTTTAATGGGGAATAATCAAGCTAGAAAAATCTTACCTGCAAAGGTCAGCTGTTGATCTCTTGCAGGAAAATGTCTTAGTCGTAGTGTACAGATACAGAATAGGTCGTCAAATATTGCAAATATTCACAGAGTCATACAGAAAGTTCTTTGGTACTAGTTGTGAAACCCAGAGTTCCCAAGTCTTAATTTAGTGAATGATTTTCCCTTCCTTTAGAACTGTAAGAAAGGACAAGAATGGTAACATGCAGTTCCTTGTCTAGAAGGAATGTTTGGTGTTAATCTTGATTTCCCAAGCTTTTGCTTTATATCAGTGGAGTAATTGCCAAGAGCACAGTGTCCTTCCTTTTCCTAGAGATATACACTGGAATGATCAAGACACAAGCTGAATAACCAAGTCTAGTTCCCTAAACCTTTGTGCCTTGTTTTCTTCAGCCCTCCCTTTCAGAAGTTTACCCAGGAAAACAAAATCCATTCCTGTTTTGATTACACATATTCACGGAGATTCCCCATGCATTTCATGGGGGAAGGGAATATTCTCTGTACGTTAAGAAGGTGGTTATGCCATAGTCGGTGTTTAGGCAGCCCCGATGCCCTCACTTTAAATGAGGAGACAGTTCTGAAATAGATTTATGTTGCTTGTGCTTTTTTATCAAATGCTGATAGGAAAAGTGCTTGAACTCAGAGTTGCTCATATGTATCATTTCTCCCAAAATAATGCATATTTCTGGAAGACTTCTAACCAGAACACCCAAAGTTGTCAACATTGTTTCTGGAAGAGTCAGGTGTATTTGCTAACTTTTACTTTGTTGCTTGTTGACCTTTTTGCGAAAAGATATAGTGCAATGTTCAAGCAAAAGCTATTGCTAATAGAACATTCTGAATTCTATTTTTAATTAATCATCTGTCTTTCTTGATAATGCTGGACCTTCTTAGTCCATAAAAGTAAACCTAATTTCCATTATGGACAAGTCGGGATATTTCAGCCAATGTGTTATTTTTAAGACTGAAAATTATTTCTGAACTACAGAAGTAAAAACAATCATAAAATATAAATATTCAGTCTATTTCTTTCCTCTGACCTGCACGTTCTTAGATTTAAACTGTGTATTAAAAATGGTAAGAATTTTGATAATAATTCTTCTGTGTCTTGTTTCATGTCTGAGAATCTTCTCTTACTTTATGGATTTCACAAAATAAGAAAAAATGAATTTAGCAGTATTCCAAACAAGCATCCAAGATACAAATCTTTAAAGCAATTCTCCATTCATATGAAGCAGATGCAAGTTTGAAGCTTTAGTACATGACCAACTTCTGTACTGCGTGCAGGGTTTGATGAAACCAGTAACCTGACTGTGAGATCAGCAGGGCACACAAACCCAGGTGTGTTTCTTCTGTCCTGCCCAGTCAGCACAGTGGGTGAGCTCATGGCAGCTGCAACCAGATGCAAAGTTAACAGAAACAAAGGAAGAGGTGGTGCTGGAGAGATCATAAAGTGATTTTTTTCAGTGACTTTTTTTCTTTTTTTGTTTTTTTTAACCCCCACAAAATTTCTTTCAGGGCATCCCTCAGCCTTGTGTCTCAAGATTTCACACAGTTAACTCCCACCTGGTACACAGTTTGTATTCTGTATCAAGTCTGTGTCTTCCAACCTAAGTATTGCACTGGCATTGTTCAGATAAAACTTTCTTCAATAACAATTGCCACCTGAAATTGTTTTCTTACTTCATCTCATATCAGAATACTAAATTTGATACTCAGGAACATAATAAAAAAAAACAAACCACCAAAAACAAAATACAAACCAAAAAACCAACAAGAACAAAACTAACCCAATTCAAAACCCTAAACAAACCCCAAAGTGAAACTCTTGCAAACATGGGAACATTCCCTGGCTTATTTTTCTCAATACCAAGGAAAATCTCAAGAATGAAAAATGAAAATATGAAATAATAAATAAAATAGCTTAATTATGCATTTTTCACAAAAAATACATTAAACACATATGAAATTATAATTATTTGTTCTTCATAAGTAAGAAATTTTAAAAAAATGTATTAGTGGTCTTAGCATTAGTTGATCAGGTGCCTTTACTTTTTTGCTTCAGAGTCCATGATTTGGATGTGATGGAGCCTTATGTATTTGTCTGGTTTTGTGGCATTTATTAAATGAGTTATTCTCCAATTAAATGAGTATTTTCCAAAATGAGCTTCCAATCCCATAAATATGAAACAGGTGGAATAATAACACTCAGTGCTTGAGTTAGCTTTTCATTTATGGACTACTGAAATATGTTGAAGTACATAGATCTTTATTTTCTGTGAAATCATGCTTAGATTCAAGAAAAGGGCATGTTCACTTAAAAAAGTCTTGCTCAAACAGTAAATTATTTTGGTCTCAAACAAGAAAGTGGGAATATATGAAAAATGCAACTTTAATAAAATATTTCTAACAAGGCTTTTTAAAGTGGTTTATATAAAGCAGACAAATATTCACCCTTTCTAGAACTGATCTACTGCTGTTAAAATCATGAATATTTTTCTTTTCTACTTGCACTTCTTTTCTTTTTCCTATAAAAGTGGGGCAGAATCCACATTCACCATGAGTGTAGAACTGAGACTGTCTGTTACATATTCCCTACCTGGATGTCACACAAGGGCCACTTAAGTCACTTCAGCACCAGTCAGAGATGCTCAGAAACACTTCTGAGTGCTTTAATTGTTCATCAAGACCTAACCCTTTGAACATTGCTTTAAGGCATATTGGCTCTGCTCTTGAGTCACTGAAGCAAAATTGGAGCATCTGGATGCAGTGTCAAAATAGCCCAGGGAGCTCCAGTGCAGCACCCAAGTGGATAATCTCAACACAGAAGACAAACACTGCATTAGCGATTGCCGGGAGGCTACAGTTCATCTTCCTCTGAAATACAATACAAGAAAAGTTAAAGGATGATACTTTTTTCTTTGTATCTTCTGTTGTGTGAACAAAGAATCAAGCTGTGTTTTGATGTTTTGTCAAGTGTTTGGCAGCATTTTCAATTCTTGTTTGCCCTACTAATCCACTGATGTTTTCTTTTCTTTGGACAAAGCAATGAATGTTTTTTACAGTTTATGCTGTATTGGATATGTTAGTGCAAAAGAATGTATCCAGCCAATGATGTTGCCTTTGAATCAAAGTATTGAATTAAAGTAGAGGAAGAATAAGTATGATAATATTTTAGTTGCCTATTAGTACTATAACATCTAATTACTCTCTCTTTACTTGTACTAAAATTTTTTATGATTCTGTGACCTATGTGAAATAATATTTTTTGCTTTGTTTGCTTTCACAGATGGCAGCAAAACAGCATTCCATTGATTGAAAAGAGCATTGTAAGTAACTCTTTTTATTTCCCCTGTTGAATTAGGCATCGCATTTTATTTTTCTAAATCTACTAATTTTTTATCTTGACTTCTTAAACTGACTTCTTCCTTGAAGACTGGTGAACAATTAATACTCTGCGAGAGCCTGTGAGACATCTGGCATGTGGCTGCAGATACAATTCCCAAGCCAGATTTCTTTTGCCATTGGCAAGAATAGTTTATGTAAGGCTTAGGCCAACGGGTCAAGAAATATAAATGCAGAAGCATGCTAAACATACCACCTGACATCAGGCTTTTCCTGGAACATGGTTGATCTGTAGAGTGCAGACCAGAATGAATACTGGAGTGCAAAACTGGGGCACAGCAGCATATACAGTCTGTTTCCTGACTTCTTGATTTTCTGACCATGCATCTAGGATTTTATTCATATATGTGTAGAAGTGAAACTAAATACAATCAGAAGCATAAGACTGATTTGATGATTTGCTATTTTTATTTGATTCAGATAATGCATTCAGATTGCATTAATTATATGTGCATAGAACCCTAACATGCAGTAAAATAATTTGTTCAATGATACTAAAAAAAAAAATCTCTGCTAAGCACTCTGCTTCACACTACTATTCAAACTATTCACACTACTCTTCTAAATACATTAACAAAATATATTCCGTTTGGAACATGTCAAGTAAATGGCTAACACTTTTTCTAGCATGTCTAGCTGCCATTAATTTAGTTAGTATTCATTGTAATTACACTCATCATAATGAATTAATTTAGTATTAATGTGAATATTATACAACTTTTTAGACAATCCATTATAATTCAGCAATAATTAATGTACATATTAAATGAAGTGTTACTGCTTAGTGCTATGATAAAGCCATGTTGTTTCATTTGAACAGCTTTAGAGGAAGTTACGTTTAATCTCATTGGTATTCCAATTGTTGCCAGGAGATATTTTTCAATGGCAAAGGGCAATTATCCTTGGGAGACTTGTTAACTTTTCAGTGAGATTCCATTTTTGCACTTGTCTACTGATTCACCTATAAGATACTGGCATTTGAAGCAAGATACTTCATGGACATGATAATGCAAAAAACTCATTGAACTATCCTAAAAGCATGAAAAATTTCTGACATTTCAGACAGTATCCAATAAAAGATGCCAGAGTTTATAAGTGAAGTCCTATAGCACTTAGGTTTTATGATTCTTCTTCCCTTCTGCCCTCCAAGAGTAATCCACAACTGAGAAGTAAGTATTTTAGATGTATCACACATCAACAGGATTAGGTGCCTCTGAGGCATCCATGGCCACTTCAGCCAGCTGCCTAAAAGTAATGACATGTGGAAACATAGCAAAAGAAGAATGCCCATATTGGATTAGGGTAAGAATTGTCTGGACAGCATTCTGTCTCTAGGCAGTGATTACAAATATATGCCCAGGGAAGGGTAAGAACTAGAAGTAGATTCCCCAGCCTCTAGTAGTTTAAGCTGATGAAATTTCATCAGATGTATGTGGTTTCTAAAGATCAAAATTTTGTTGTATTTTGGGTCCCTGTATCTACTCCCACAAACCTGTTCAAGTCTTAGAACATGTATGAGTTGTATGGGTTTACTACCCTGTTCATTTTGTGCACAAAGAACTTTTTGTTATTGTTGTTTTGAATGTGATTTCTTCTATCTTAATTTGAATCTACCTTGTATTGGATTTGATTGACCTGTAGTCAATCCATTCCCTTTATGCCACCAGTGATTTGTCAGCCTCACCTATATCCTTCTTTGGAGATGGCCTCCTCAAGGGAAGTATCCTACACTGTGTAGAAGCTGTTCATCTTTCTTGCCCTGTTTTGGGTTTTGCATGCTATCCATTGCTTTCTAAGTGTGAGACATTCTTAGGTTTATACTATTTCAAAATCATTCCTTCAGCTTTTCCTTCTTAGTTTCTTACTGAATACTAAGAATAAATGGTTATGGAACTGTGGGCTTATTTCTCCATGGTGACTGTCAACTCTAGGCCCACTATGTTAAAATTCCCACCTTCCCTCACCCTCTCCTGTGTACTGTTTTACATTTATTTGTAGGGCATTTATTCTGCTGTTGTTTTGCTTGTCACTCAGGCTTGCGAGTACAGAATTTCTGGAATTCTACACTGTTTGTCCTTGTCCTGGCTAACCCAAATAACTCCAATCAGGTACATTTTTCAACAGCCCTCATCCTTCTTCCTGGATTATTTATGAATGTTGAACAGCACAGGCCCTAGAAAAACTCTTTGAAAAAGTCCAGCAGCAATGTCTCACAATTTCAGGAACTGGATCTTTCCTCTCTACTACTTTGCTTTTAAAGTCTCAGTTATAAATGTCTGCCTTCTTACCGGCTTACTTTTTATAATAGCCTTTGTTGAGAAACTCTAAGAAAAACCTTCTGCAAATCCAAGGTAGACTCCTACTGAGCAACTCCAGGCAACCAAATCACTCACATTCATGTGTCTGTTGAATGAGAAAAAGTGCTTCAATAGTTCTACAGAGGAATATTTTTCCTTTACAAAAGCCATCTTCACTTGTCCAAAATATAGCATATTTATCAGATGTCCAACTTGAATTTTGTATTATAATTTATACTGACTTGACCAGTATGGACTTCAGTGTATTTGGGTCTGACAAAAGACACTTTTTTTTAATATCTGCTTTTTTAACTTTACTTTAAATTTTATTTTCACTGCAGTTACCTCTTACAGTTCTCAGTACCTTTGCAATTCTAACATTGCATTAGATGTGAGAGATAAATGCACCCTCGCTTGCCAATAAGATATATCATTTATGAATTTTTTATAACTGTTTAGTGAATACTATCTTTCTAATAATTTGTAACTGTTCACTTTCTCATCACTTCCTTTCTGCAAGCTGATGTTCCCACTGAGAGTTATTAGGATACATTATTACACAGCAAGCAATCTTTACCTGTAGTTTTACAAAATATGTCAATGTCATGCTGGTTAATAAGAGTTCACCTTATCTATGAACTTCTGACTCTGTTTCTGCTGATATGTTTGACCTTGGGCTTAACCTATACACATCGCACTTCTGTTGAATTTTACAGATCACACGTAGGCTGGGCATTCCTATTTGTTATTTCACACTTAGGAAAGGAATTAAATTTTTCTATCAAGTAGTGCATTAATAAAACAAATGCTAATAGTTATGAAGTAAGTATTATTATGAGAGAGAGAATTAGAAACTATTTGGGACGACCCTAGATCTTTAAAAAGAGTTATTTTATTATTTCAGATTAACAAAAAATATTAAAACAAATGGTTTTGCAAACTACCTTTTTTCAATTGATGTGTTAATAAAGAATTCAATCTCTTTACTTAAAGTAGACCAGCAGAGTCACTGCAAGCACTGCCCCTTGTTGAACTCAACAGTTGTCATTTGTGAAGTGTTAATGAAATTTTTGTCCTCTTTTTGTGTGGCAATCTTTTCTGTCTTTCCAGTGTCAAAGTACCCTTCTCTCTTTCTCAGGCAAAATCAATTCACCCAGTAGCTAGCTTCCTGCTTCTGTATAAAGCATTAAACTGTATAAAGCTGTATAAAGCATTAAACTTTTACTTCAAATCAGGTCTAATGATGCTCAGCTGCATAATGTTTAAGTTAACATATTCAAGGCTTGGCTTACTCAAGTAAACCAGATAAGTCTGTTCTCAGTACTGCTTTTGCTATTGCTGTATACCTTCCAGGCGTCAGTGTCATCAAGATCTTTTCTGTTTAGATATGACTTCAGACCTCCTCTATAGAGGTCCACTAATTCTTTCCTGCAGACTAATGATGCTTAGTTAAAAGTAGTCTTGTCTGCCTTATCATTATTTCATAACATGGCATTAAAATATTTTTTTCATTAATTAATGATCCAAAGTATTTAGATCCTGTTACTGTTAGGGACTTATGACCCTGTTTGCAGACATTCTGAACTCCAATGCTTGAAATGAAAGGGAAGTGTTGACTCAAAATTGTTGTAGAGATACCATTACTAACACATACAGCTGGTCAATGTTTCCAAAATGTTTAAACCTTTCATTCTGGTTACCCTAAATAGATGGTACCCTATTTAAAACACTATTTTGTCCTTTCTTGCAGGGAAGATTTCTGTTTCTGACTATCTTGACAAGTGGCAAAACAAAAAATTAAAGTTTCAGTGACAAAATTAACAGCATTCAATTTTTTTTGTTGAAAAAGTGCCAGTTTTTAGGAACAATTTAATGTATTGTATTTCACACATACTTTGGGGGCATTCTCTATGTGTTTTTTACTAATGCTTATTTTGTGGTACACACAAATAGATGTTCAGTCTAGGCTCACTTCTATGTTTCTGGTATGGACTAGCTGAGACAGATAAGAAGAAGGCTTTTCTTTTTTAATTTGTATTTTTTCAGGCAATAATTCTTTTTTTTTTTTTTTTTAAGAGCTACATGGTATTTGGTCATCTTGTTTCTGTACATTTGCAGATTTGGTGTCACTCTAGCATTTACTCAATTGGTGCCTTATTCAACTTTTGCGACCTTTTAAGTTCTATGTTCGTATTCACAGGTTTTCTTTTCATGACTGATACTGGTGTTTTCCTTTCTAAGTTACCTTCATGGTGCCTGTTCTGGAGCTGTCCTTGGGGAAAATGGGATTAATTCAGTGGAGACTGGTCTCTCAGTAGTACATCTGGTTCTTCTTTTACAATAGAAAGATGGAGAAATGCCTATGTGTGAATGCTCATGAAGAGTATATGGAAATATATGAATTCAGCTCTTAATCCAACTAAAATATATTTAAACTGTGATAGTCTCAAATCAATTTAATTTAAAGGAATTTTAAGGAGCCAGGTTCTGACTGGGATCCCAGCAAGGAGGATCAGATTGCAACTTGCATGTTGTGTGCCCAGTGCTTGAGCATTCTTAGGAATTGTGTCCTATTGCTTTCACTTAAGCTTTTCATTTCAAGATTAGGACCTATCTCAGTAAAGGAA